TTATTGTGAGCTTGTTATTTTCCTCTTATTGTGATTTTAACAATCAAATCTATAAATAACTCAATAAAGAGAGACGTAAAAGGCATATAAGATTGAACTACGTTATTTTGTAAGAGTTAAAATTGAGCATATCATTAGTTGAATTAATATAACTTTGTAAATATTAAAAAATTTAATTATAATACGGAACTTAAGAACTGAATGAAACCGAACATGAACCTTTCCATAATTAAATTTGGACCTGACAGTTTCACTTACTAAATACCCGAAAATTTCATATCCGATTCAGTTCTAATTAGAACTTAACCGAACCGAACTATATCCAGCCCTACTAGGTTATATATGTATTTATTGTTTTTGATTGATCTGAATAACTTTTCTAAAAGATTCTTTTTTATCTTTTTTTTTTCCCAAAGATAAAGTGCAATAAATTAGGGAAAAGGGGGCTACTGCTCAATCCACAATACATAGCCCATATAAAAGACTAGCCCCGTTTGATAGCAATATTTCACATTATATTTCACTATTTCAGCCGTCATTTGGTGTAGTGTTAGGTATCATTGCTTTTGGTTGCTAAAACATGCAAAAACCAAATGAAAAAGAGGGAGATAAAATTGCACTAAATATTTTAGCGACCATAACATTAATGATTGCAGAAGACTGGGATCTAGGACCATTCAGTGGTCGTTAGAATGGGTTTCATATTCGGAATTTTTTTTGCTCTTTTTCCGCACTACCTTTACCTACCAATCAAATGTATGATTCCTAATTTTCTGAATCAACGACCATAATTTGGTCGCAATAGAACATAACAAAATTTGTCGAATTTTACTAGACCAAAGTCTATACCCACTATAAGTAGGTCGCTAAACGTGTTTTATAACAACTATATTTTATTGGTCTAAACCTTTGACCAGTGGAGCCCTTTTTTTAAATTTTTTTTATTTTATTTTAGTGACTAGAGACGATAAATAACCTTTTCCCTCTATTTTACTTTCTTCCTTTCGTTTCTGTCTGACATACCGGGCCGTAACCAATATTTTGGTTAGAAAAAAAATGATAAAAATAAAGGCTTCTCAAGTCTCTATAAAGTCCACCCAAAAAATATTATTCCTGCATATTTGTTCCACATGCAACTCTGCGCTTATATTCCCATCATATTAACTACCAATGTGACTCTGCATATATAAAATATTTTCAGTAGCGAACTTTCAATACAATTTCAAGATGTTTGGAGAATTCAATGAGGCCAATAGTTTAGTCCATCCGGTTGTAATTTTTATATGTATTCTTTAATTTACCCAATTTCCTCTTCGTCTTCGTCTTCGTCTTCAATATTTCTTTATGCCTACTCAGATCCCAACAAACCCTAGTTTTGTCTTAGTTTTTTGGTCATGCTTCATATATGCAAGACATGACACTCTCATTCATTTTTTATGATATACTTTGATAATGAAATGATTAGCTTAGAGTCTTTTTAAATTAAAGTTTCAATAGATAAAAACGACTTAGTACCTAACACATCAAATTATTTTACTTCAAATTGAGCGATTAACGTTTCTACGAAGCCGACACTCCAATTCTATGTTAAGATTGGTTAAATTGATTATACTATCACATTACAGTAAGCTCTTATAAAAATTTAATTTATGTTTGTTCTCTGCCAATCAACTTTGTTAAAATCAGATAATGACCTCTGGGTCCTCATCCATATTTATGCGACACTTTGGTCCTGAAAATTGAATTCTCGTGACAAATGAGTATAAACTGATTAAAAATTTAATGGAGCATTATGTGTAATCAGTACTGTTTGAATGGAATTCTTTGGGATATGTTCAGTAATAATTAATGACGGAGTTAAGAATTTTCAATGATATTAAGTCCTATTTAGTCTCATTAAAATTATAATTCATTTTTCTCTCTTTTTTTTATCAATCATACATTCTCTTACAAAATAATATTGTTCGTAACTCTAAAAAATTTTCTTTCTTTTTTAACTACACATTCTTTAATAATAATAATAATAATAATAATAATAATAATAATAATAATAATAATAATAATATTATTATTATTATTATTATTATTATTATTATTATTATTATT